TGAGAAATGGCTGCAAAGCGATGGTTGAGCTTTGAGATTTTGGGCTCTACTATTTTCCTGCAGTGGTCGCCGCGGTTTGCCATTAAGTTTGCTGCTTGGTCACGTGTGGAGTCCACCTTTGGGCGTATGTCATTCATTTCAGCCTTTAAACGCTATATTCCGTGAGCAAGAGACAGAGCTTGATGTTAGTAATACATGGAAGTTGAGAGAGAAAGGGGAGAAAACATGCAGAAGGAAAAGAGAGAGAAGAAGAAAGCCAACTTCCATAAAATAGGAGCCAAGTGACAATGTGGGTCATCCCAGGAGAACAGGCCCCTGTCATTGTTTAACATTGAAATATGTTTATTTAAACCAGTGATGTATTCTGACACAGGACAAGGGTTGTTTGCCCTGCTCTATGTTGTCTGTGACAATTGTAACATTTTTTGTTTAGTAGTAGTCTTAGCTTTACTGGATTTCATAGCTGTGGAAAAACCTAAAAACACTATGTGCTCAGCAGGGAAGGTAGGTAAAGAAAACTTTTGTATTTTTTCCTGGTTCATTTCAATTCTCCTTTGTTTTGCCATATTGAATGTGATGAAGAATCTTGATATTCTAACTGATATGGACTCTGTGTCACACACAGATATACTCAAGTAGGTTCTGCTTGACCCAAGAGGTCATAGAGGCTATGCGATAAATAATTTAGTTCTTATTATTCCAAAGGCATTGAAGGGATTTAACTATAAGATGGCATTCCTGGGCTACACTTCAATTGAGAAGGAAGAGGCACAATGTAAAACCATATCAAAATAAGCTTCAGAAAATAGGGTAAATATATTTGGAAATAACCTGGAACATCTTTACAGTTTCTCATTAAACATGGAATTATAATAGCAATTACTTAAAAAAGGAAAAAAATTGTTTAGATAAAAACACATATATATTTGAATGTTCTTCAAATACCCACCCACTAGTCAAATTACATTAGGGAAAATTTCCAAAATGAAGAATAATTCATTGAAATGAAATTTCTTAAAATTCAACTCTTTCTATTTCATTGAGACAGGAGATGTCATTGAATAAAGCTAATACAATATCTGTAAGATATATTTGCATGTTTTAATTCCCACATTCTTTCAGAGGAACACTTTTTGGATGCATAAATTTACTTCCCTTTGAGAAAGAACACTTAGGATGTACTAATTATTACTTTCAGTACATAAAGAGAGAGCATGAAGCCATTTTTACTTTATGTACAGTCAAAAAGGTAAAATTCAGTTTTTATATAATCCCAGTATTATGACTAATTACTAGGATTTGGACCTTGCATAGGCAAAATGTCCAGATGATCAGGTTTTATGTAGTTACTCAGACTGTGAAGGATGGCAAGAAACCCATCTTTGTACCCAACATAAGAATGTAATAATTTAATTTGTCAAAATGTAATTTGGTTAGAGAT